TTTCTAATATCATTCACTAGTTAAAAACTAAAGAAATGATAATCCTGTGCATCTAGTAGCACCAGCAAGTAACAAAGTACTGAACCAACAAAATGACAAAATCAACAGGACAGAGGGACTAATGGAAAGTGATCAAAGCTGGAATGATGTTAGCAATGAACTGAATTCTGTCCAACAGTGTAAGTAATTATTCATGTGCCAATATCGATAGAAATAATGATTGAACAAATAAATAAATGGGTGAGAAGAGACAAATCACTAGTGCAGGAGGATTCCAAATAATTTTTATAGATATTCTGTCCTCAGAGAGGCAGCTAATACTCCCACTCCTAAAGTAAGGGCTTCAAATGGTCACTTCCTTCCAAAGTGTACAGTGTGGAAAGAGTCACTTACTGAGAAACCTGACCTCGGCCAGGTGATTGAGGTCAGCATCCACAATGATAAATCACATTGATAGTATGAGTTGATGACAGTGGCACTTCACCACTCTGGTGCTTCTCCCAAGAACCCATAACCCCAGGTTCACTGAAAAAACATTAGACAACCCCTATGAGAGGCAATTTAAAAAATGACTGGTATCCCTCACATCTGTCAAGGTCAATTGAAACTAGGCAAGTCTGAGGAGAACTGTTCCAGTCTAGAAGGTCCTAAAGAGACAGGATGACTCAGTGTGAAATACTGAATGGGATTCTGAAGCAGAAAAAGGGATATTTAGGTAAAAGTTCAGGAAATCTGAATAAGGTATGGACGTCAGTTAATACTAACTATATCAACACTGTTCCTTACGAATGTAACATGTTAACAATAGGGGGAACTCAGTATTCCTGTAAATCTGTAACTATTCTAAAATTAGAAGTTTATTTCTAAGAAAAGTTACTTAAATACCTCATTCTTATTTTTTAAATAAGTTTTGGTAACATTAGAGATGTTCTATAAGATAAATTTTTAATATTTTTTGACCTAGTTTTCTCAAAGTATGAAATTCTGGTTGTATAAGTCTGACTTTTCACTCAGGAGATCCTTTGCTATACATAGAATTCTGTGGCTCATTATGGATAAAAGTTTTCTGCTGAGGTTTCTGGGCAGTTGTCTGAGGACACAACTAATCCTAAAAAAACAAGATTTCATGTCTATTTCCCTTTTGTATAACATAACAAAAAGGAGGCTGGGGATGTGGCTCAAGTGGTAGCGTGTTCGCCTGGCATGTGCAGAGCACTGGGTTCGATCCTCAGCACCACATAAAAATAAAATAAAGATGTTATGTCCACCGAAAACTAAAAAATAAATATTAAAAAATTCTCAAAAAAACATAACAAAAAGGTATTTATATTATAAGTTGCCGCATTCAATATGTATTGAAGTATTATAGTTAGTGGAGATACTAGCTGGAAATACATAGCATCTCTTGCCCATTGTCACCTGGGTGCCAAGCCCCAGTGGCTCAGGGCAGTCAGTCTTTTCAAGGGACTGATCCGGAGCCACTTAAGTGGGAGATTGTGAGCACATGGTAGTACACACTACAGTGTGACAGTAAAACAATAGATACAGACACAATATTCAGTGGTTGAACAGTGGAGGTGATACCATGCCAGCTCTTTTATAAACATATTAGTAAAAACAGATTAGCTGGGCTTTGTTAAAATATGATGTATCTAATTAGGGTTACTTTTTTTGTGTGTAGCCAGTGATGCTAGCTATAGAATCTTATTTTTTTTTTTTAGCTGAAAAATCTAAAAGGCTTAGAATAAAAACTATAAATTTTTAAAGAGAATAGGCTAATGATTTTTTAAAGTATTTTTGAAAAGGAACATATTAAACATTTTACTACATTTTGAAGAAATAAAACATGTAGATAGTTAAAATTAAGACTTTGCTGGGCAAGGTGGCACGTATCTGTAATCCCAGTGGCTTGGGAGGCTAAGTTCAGCGTCAGCAAGTTAGTGAGGCTCTTAAGCAACTTAGCAAGACCATGTCTCTAAATAAAATATAAAATGGGCTTTGATGTGGCTCAGGGGTTGAGTGTCCCTGGGTTCAATTTCAATCCCCACTACCAAAAAATAAAAATCTCGTTTTCTTCCTTCTTCATCTATTCTTTTCTTCACCTCTTCTTTCCTAGGGTAACCCATTTTCCTGATGTTGATATGTGTCATTTCCGGGCATTTTTAAATAACTGTGTGTGTATGTGTGTGTGTGTGTGTGTATGTGTTTGTGTGTTCAGCATATAAACATGTATATACATAAACTTACAGGTTATACATATATACTGGGTTTTTTTAAACAATATATTTAAATTGTGCACCACACAAAAATTTTTTTTTCTCTTCACTGATTTTTACTGGCATTATTAGTTCATGGTGAAAAGTATGAATCTCGTTCTTTTGACTTTAACGCGACTTTCTAGTGTTGCATTATATGAAGAAAAACCAATTGATTTCTGTGGCCCTGTGCAGGAACTGATTATGGGTTATGTCCATTTTTCGCTCGCTGTTCATAGCTACAGTAGTCATTCTTGTATGTATATCCTTGTAAACAGGTGCAAGAATGTCTCTAGGGTAGATAACTAAGAATTTATGGGGTTACAGGTATGTCATTCTCTTGATCAATTGTGTATTTCCACATCTATGAAGAATCTTATCAGACTTACTCATCTTTGCCAGTTCCTCACTAATAGGGAAATTGCATTACTTTTTTTTTTTTTTCTTTAGAGATTGAACCCAGGGGTGCTTACCACTGAGCTACATCCCCAGCCTTTTTGTTTTTTAATTTTGTGACAGGGTCTCACTATGTTGGCCAGACTATCCTCAAATTTGCAATCCTTCTGGCTTAGACTCCCAAATTGCTGGGATTATAGGCATATGCCACTACATCCAGCTGAAATGTCTGTCAAGAATTAACCTAGGGCTGTGGTTGTGGCTCAGTGGCAGAGCGCTTACCTAGCATGTGTGAGGCACTGGGTTCAATCCTTAGCACCACATAAAAATGAACAGATAAAATAAAGGCATTCTGTCAATCTACAACTACCAAAAACAAAAAAAAAAAACCTAGAGTGGTATTTTGTAAAGTCAAAGTCTGTTGACCTTGAATCCAATTCTCAGAACATGTTAATAAAGAAATATTGCTGCATTCCATCATAAAGTTAAATTAGAGGTGGTGGGTTAGAATAAGATTATATTCCTTCCCCATATTTAATGGTTTTATTTTACTCTTATGCCTTTAGATTTGTTGACCGTGTCTCTTATTGGTTTAGGGAGGAGTTCAAATGAGTTATCTGATTTGATTTTCTAATTATATTTTAAGAGAAATGTTTCTGAAAAACTACATTTGTGGTTTCCTAAAAAGATAAACAGTTTTGCCAGGTACAGGCTAAGGCAGGAGGATCTCAAGTTCAAAGCCAACCTCAGCAAAAATTAAGGTGCTAAGCAAGTCAGTGAGACCCTGTCTCTAAATAAAATACAAAATAGGGCTGGGGATGTGGCTCAGTGGTTGAGTGACCTTGAGTTTAAACCCCAATACCCCCACCCCCCCAAAAAAAATAAGCAGTGTTATAATACAGTCCTGCAATTAAGCCCTCAGGTATTTACCCATATGATGAAAACTTTTATCAACATAAAACCTGCATATGAATGTTCATAGCAGTTTTCATAATTGCAAAAAATTAGAAGCAACTGAGATGTCTTTCAGGAGGTGGATGAATAAGGAAACTATGGTACATCCAAACAATATCTGTTATTATCAATAAACAAGGACTACCAATCCACTACAAGATGTGAAAAACATTAATTGCATATTGCTGTGATTCCAATTATATGGCATTATGGAAAAGGCAGAACTGTGGAGACAATAAAAAGATCAGTGGTTGCCTATAATTGAGGGGCAGGAAGGATAGCTCAGTGTCTATAGAACATGAGGATTTCAAGGACAGTGGAACTAGCATAACACTGTCATGGTGTCAAAACAGAATTATACAGTACAAACTGTGAACCCTAGTATAAACTGTGAATTAGATCTAATTAAAATGTGTTGATATTGGTTCATCAATTTTAACAAATATACCACACTACTAATGCAAGATATTAAGACAATTATATTTATGAAATCTAAATTGTTGAAACTTTTTCATGACTACTTCCATTTTCTGTGGATCTGCAAAGTTCATGTTGTAAGTCATTTGGTTTCCTTTTGGCTTTCTTGATTAAGAAATACAGTGGTATAGCCAGGTACAGTGGCACATGCTCATAATCCTAGCAACTTGGGAGGCCGAGGAGGAAGTTTGAAGACAGCATAGTCAACTTAGCAAGATCCTGTGTCAAGATTAAAAAAAAAAAAAAATTTTTTCCCTAAAAGGACTGGGGTAAGCCAGGCATTGTGGCACACACCTGTAATCCTAGCAGCTCCGGAGGCTGAGGCAGGAGGATTGAGAGTTCTGAGCCAGCTTTAGCAAAAATGAGGTGCTAAGTAACTCAGTGAGACCCTGTCTCTAAATAAAATACAAAATAGGGCTGGGGATGTGGCTCAGTAATCAAGTACCCTAGAGTTCAATCCCCCACTACAAAAAAGAAAAAAAGACTGAGGATACTGAGGATATAGCTCAGTGGTAAAGTGTCCCTGGGTTCAACCCCCTGTATCACCCCCACATACACACAAAGTAGTAATATAGTGGTATAAAATGTTAATTTTGTTTTCTTTATGTATGTTGTTAAATAATATAGAGTCAAGATTTTATATGTTACTGTTAGAAATATTTTCAAGATCATATAATACCCGAAATAATCCAAGATGTTTTGATTCCTGTAAGTTCTCTATAAAATGCCTCTTTCATTTATTGACTCATTCTTAGACATGACTGAATCCCATATCTCTTAGAATCAGTCATCTGAGATTCCGTGAAATATGATATATCTAGTAAAACTGCAGAAGGATTATAATCATTATTACAGATCATTCTAAATTTTAAATAACATCATGGGAGTGTTCTGATTTTTCTCTTATCTGTCTTTCAGATGTTCTCTATGTGGGTATGTGTGCAGCCATCCTCCGTCTTTGAAGTCTCATATGTGGAAGCATGCAAGTGACCAAAATTACAACTACGAACAAGTAAACAAGGCTATTAATGATGCAATTTCACAAAGTGGCAGGTATTTGATTCTACCCCCTCCCTTTATTACTGTATATAAATTAAAGTTAGAATTAAAACTACTAGTCCTACAGTATAGGTAGCCCACTCAAGGTATGGTGTGTTTTGTTTTGTTTTGAAGAGTTCTGGGGAAATCCTCTGGAAAAACTCTATTAAACAGCAGTGAAGAGAGAGCCGATCCTGTCACTGGAAGTTCAGAAAATGTGGTGTCATCCTCCGAGCTGATTTCCCAAGCACCCAGTGAAGTCATAGATCCCAATGAGAATGAGAAACTGAGCCCTACAAATAATACCTCATATAGTTTAGAAAAGAACTCCAGTCTAGCCCCTCCTGGAATGGAGTATTGCGTTTTGCTCTTCTGTTGTTGCATTTGTGGTTTTGAATCAACCAGCAAAGAAAATCTCTTGGATCATATGAAAGAGCATGAGGGTGAAATTGTAAACATCATCCTAAATAAAGACCACAGCACAACTGTAAACACAAATTAGCTGGAATAGTTAACCACAGTTTCACCTTTGTGCTGTCAGATAACTAACCTACTAGATGCAAAAAAACTAGTTGGTGTGAGAGGAAATGACAGGTGTGACTTTGGAACCAAACTTGTGATGTAATAAAATTAATTCCAAATGGATAAACAGTAATATTTAAATATTTTGAGTGAGGGGAAGTGGGTTGAGGTGGAACAAAGATGTAATCGGTATTAATCCTCTATCACCCCTTCTTAGTGTTGAGTGTATTTATTATTAAAAGCTTATTATAGTTTAGACATACATGCAAGCAAGAGTTAAGAAAGGGCTTTTCAGGAACTCTTCTAAAACTTGTTATAAAAGTGTCACAGTCTTAGCAGAGCTTAACTTTCTTGTGTTTACTTTTGACATGCCAGCTCTGGAATCGCTGGGTCTCTTGTGAGAATGGCACATAGCTTCTAGAGGGTTTTTTTTTTTTTTTTCAGAGTCTACAAGGAAGCAGATAGAGGGCTTTGAAATGATCCACTTATATCTTCCCCTGAATTTATCATATACTCAATAAGAATTTATCATATACTCAATCTGGGATGTTCCTTTATTCCCAAAAACAAAAGAAAGACCTCTAAACCAAATCTGGATTATAAATAGACATATATAAGAAGTAAATTGTTGTCTTAAATTTACAGTGAGTTTTTGGTAGGAATAGGAAGAAATGGGTTCATTCCAACCAGACTCAAATCAATCTCAAGTTCACAGAATTGGTGACTAGTTGAGCACAGCAGGGCACTTCTCACAGGTTCCTTTCAGAGTGTCTGGAAGAACACAGCACACTTTCGATAGTTAAATAGGCTTTCTGATCCTCAGTGCTAAGTGAGGATTCCTTGTTATTTGAATGAGTCTCTTAAAGCAGCAACAGAGTATGAAAAATTACATCAGGCCTTAGCAATAGTTTGAACACTAAGATAAAAATGAAGTTGAGGGAGAAAATTCAGAGGACTCTTAAACGTAGTACTGCTGTTGAGATTTTCCTTTCTGAAGTTTTATTTAGTTTTTAGCAGAAGAGAAATAACCAAATGTGACCAAAATATAGTAAAAATTCAAGTTGTTTGTAAAAATTTTAATTAGCAAACAGAATTTGGCAATTCTATAGGATTTCTTTCTAAGAAATTCTGTTTAGAGTGTGATGTGGAAAACTAAGTAAACGTGCTGTCGCAGTAAAACTTGCCATCAAATACACATAAGTTTCTCGTTAATTACATATTTTGTATTATAATTGTTTCAGTGGGTGAAAAAAAAACAGGGTGTTTTGTTTTTGTAGTTCTGATCACTTATTTATACATTATTTTTTTGTTAAATTCTGCCTCCAGTCAAAAGGCAGGTGCACCATTCAGTGCGCCATCTTCATGGTGCTATTTCAGATGAACATTCTGAATATCCATTTCTAACATTTAGAGTTGAGGTTGTGACTCTGATAAACTTAGAACACCAAAAGCAAGAGTTTCATGAATGGAATATTATATAGGCAAAGTTTTCAGAAAGAATTTTGCTCCCAAAGTCCAGGTATAAATAAAATGAATTAATATTTTTAAGATAGTGTTAGGAACTATGTAAGTGGGGCCAGCCATCTTGAAACACTGTCTAATTTGTTTTTATTTTTCTCATTTTGATGATGATATTTAAACATACAGTTGGCTGTAACTTTGCAGCTCTTTGATTTAGGTAGCTTTAATTTATTTGTGAAAGTTAATTCATTTCTGATATATGCTTTTTGAAAAGATAAAATGAATTTATATATAGTAAACTATATTTCCCAAATCCACTATACATGGATTTAAATAAATGCATTTTCTCCTATTTCAGAATTGAACCATTTATATTTAATTTTGAATTCAAATAAAATCCTTTAAAGGTTCCTTTTCATCATTGTTGTTGCCACTCTATGTACATTAATTTTTCATTTCTGGTGACTGTGACTTTGACTCAATGTTTCTTTATAAAATTTTGTTATTCGGAAAAGTAACAATCTTAGAAGAATTTTCCTTGGCTTTACTTTTCCATAATCCTTTGGAAAATACTAATAATGCCCCCCCAAAAAAATCCCAAAATTTCAAGTGTGACTTTTTAAATTGCCTCTCTTTATTTTCTTAAACCACTTCTTTTGATTGTTACTTAAATATTCCATTTGAAATCATGAATTTAATTCCCTACCCCTTAGGGAAGTTAACCCAGAAGTTCAACCCCCTTAAACTTTCACCTGATTCTGGCTTTCAATTGTCCATAAAAACTTTCTCTTGGCCTACAGAAGGAAATATGTACCAAGAATATTTTAAATCTTTCCATTATTATTTTGTGGCAAGGCTTAAAAGTGTTTCTGCCAAGAACAATTGAGTTTTCTAAAAGTAATAATGAAGATTAAATATGCAATTATAATTGTAGAAAAAAGTTATTAAAATAATGAATAGGGAATCCCTTTATAGGAATAATTATTTATTGCTACTAGACCTTTTGTCATATAGAGTTCATACTATTTGCTCTGAACACTTATACAGTTCTAAGATTTGATAGTGAAAATAGTTTTAAAATAAACTAAATTCAGCAAAGGTGAGAATCAGGGAGATAATGCATTCTGATCATTATAAATAACACTTTTCAGGGCTCTGATGTTTTCTCCCTTTCTTTAATAATCCAGAATGTGGTTGGTGTCCCCAGTGTTCCAACAGTACTGTGCTTATATTCCTCTTGATCTGTAGACTTAAGTTCTGTGGCCAGACAGTGCGTGTGTGACACTGACTGAAGCCTTTGATTTAGATGTTTCATCTTCTTCAGGGTAGCTGTTGATGGCTTTATAATGATTTTCTGTTTTTTTCTCACAAAGCAAATGGTGGGCATCCATGTTTACATTGTATCTTCCTGTAGCGTACTTGGCTTGGCAAAGACAAGCAGGCTTCTCTATGAGACTTATATTTTTAGTTTTCATAGACACTTATTTAATCTTTTTTTATTGTACAGCAAGGTGCTCTAAGTAATATTCTATAAAATATATTTAATAGAAATTTGAGTTTGATATTCATGGATATGAATACATGTATTTTTTTAAGAAATAATTATTGTGTAACACTAAGGCATTGCTTCTATAGCCAAAGTATAAAAGTTTCTGGAACACTGACATGTAAAGACTACAGTTAATTCTGACACTGTATCTTATTAAAAATAGGATGATTTGCATTTTGTAAAATTATCCTGCACATTGAGCTGCATGCCTTAAAGCTGAAACTCTAGGATTGTGTTCATGGTAGAACAGTTTATCTGTTCAGAACAGTGAAGCAAGGTCTATAGCGCTTCTTTAACTACCTTTGGAAATACTGTACAATGTTAGAATAATTTATTTTGCTTTACAGGAGTTTGTCATGTATTGACTTTAATATTGTATTTTGGTAATAAATTTTTTGTTAAAAACACTTGCCTTTAAGTTTTATTAACTATACATATGTCTGTTCTTAGAAATGTTGATTTGATTAGATAGCTATATTTAAATAATTAAAAGATTCCCAAAGGTAAGGCTTATGATCACCCTCTAGTAACTTTTTAAACTATTGCTGACTTGTATTAAACTGTTAAACAAAAATAATTGAAAAAGCATTTGGCTTCTGAAATCATTTTTAAAATTCATTCTAAGTTTGGAGCTTTTCCCCTTGCTAAGTAGGTCTTAATTTTGTCTTCCAAATCACACACTTATGTTTTCAGTTCTGCTGTGGTCAGAGTTCTGAAGACTAGTCATACTTAGGGTGGTTGGCATTGTTTACTGAAAGCCAGAGATTACAGCAATGAGTTCTCACTTGTCATTATTCCATGGTCTAATGTCTCATGTCTTTTGACATCTGGTTTGTTGCATTGGTAAGTGATGCTAACATCATCTGACTGCATTATTAGTTTAGTTATCAGTTTGTGCTTTAGAATCCTGGGCCACCTCAGCTTGAAGTGACTGACACCACATATTTCGTCCCAGTAGCTTTAATCCCTGGTCCTGTACTCCCTGGAGCAATATAATCATATCCCCTATCTTTCAAAATCCAAATCCCAACACTGTGTCACTAAACTCTAAATTAGTTATAGAATTCCTATCTTGGAAAGTTTAGAACATAATGGTCCCGTACCCACATGTGACTATTGATCACTTGAAATATAATTAAAATGCTCCAATAGTTGCAAAAGAAATATATATAAATAGTTTTTTTATATTGATTACATGTTAAAATAAAATTTTTAATATATTGGGTTAAATAAAAATTTCAGGGCTGGGGTTGTGGCTTAGTGGTAGAGCGCTCACCTAGCCGTTTGAGGCACTGGGTTCAATCCTCAGTACCACATAAAAATAAATAAATAAAAAGTCGTGTCCATCTACAACTAAAGAAAAATATTTTTTTAAAAAAAGTTAATTTCACCTATTTTTATTTTATAAATGTAGCTACTAGAAAATTTTAAATTACATATGACTCACATTATATTTCTCTTGGATGGTGCTAGTTTAGGAGAAAAATTGGCAAATTATGGCCCTTACTTTAAATTTAGGCTGCCACCTGTTTTTGTAAATGAATGTTTTCTTGGAACAGCCACACCCACTTTTTTTTTTTTTTTCCTTTTGGAATGGGGATTGAACTCAGGGGCACTCAACCACTGAGTCACATCCCCAAGCCCTATTTTGTATTTTAATTTACAGACAGGGTCTCACTGAGTTGGTTAGTACCTAACTTTTGCTGAGGCTGGCTTTAAATTCATGATGCTCCTGCCTCAGCCTCCTAAGCTGCTGAGATTACAGGCATGCGCCACCAAAAAAGTGATTGTGAAATCACTTTTTTGCATGTCATGTGGCTGTTTTCAAGGAACAATGTCAGCACTATTTGTTAGTGGCAAAGACGGTACAACCCACAAAGTACAAATTATTTACTATCAGGAAGTTCATTGAACTACAGAACAATGGTATATATAACCTGTGCTTTAAAACTACCTGAAAGAAAAGACTTTTTTATTAAAAAGTGCTAGAGTTTACATCTTGAATGTCCCCCAAAACTCATATATTAAGGCTTGGTTCCCCAAAGCAATAATGTCCAGAGGTGGGGCTTTTGAAAAGTGATTGGATGATGAGAATCCTGACCTCATCAGAGGATTAACCACTTGATGAATTAGTAACTTCAGTGGACTATTGGGAGGTAATGGAAACTGTAGGCAGAGGGGCATGGTTGGAGGAAGCAGTTCATTTGAGGATGGCCTTGGAGACTGTATCTTTGGTCCCTTCCTCTCTGCTTCCCAGCTGCCTTGAGCTGAGTGGTTTTCCTCTGCCACACCTTTCAGCCATGATGTTCTGCCTCATCTCAGGCCCAGAGCAATGGAGCCAGCCAACCATAGACTGAAACCATGAACCAAAATAAACCTTTCCTTCTACAAGTTGTTTGTGTCAGGTATTTTGGTAACCATGGATGGAAAGCCGACACAAAGAAAGCTTTTTTTTTTAGAGAAGTGTTTTAGAACTGTAATGTTTCTTCTTCTGTCATTCTTATCACCTACCTCTTCTTCCTCAGTCTTATGCATGTTTTATGACTTGAACCTGTCTCACTATTTTGTCATCTCTAATATTTAAACCTAAACACACATAAAGTAACATGCATTATTAAATAGTAAATTAATGCCACCACGGAAAGTACTACTTTCCTCCTGATGACCTTATGTCTGTGTTAGATTTGATTGTTTCACACTTGCAAACAGTTGGACACTGCTTGAATAACCATGGGACAAGATGACCACAGTAGTCAATCCACTCAACTGGGGTGACTATTGACTTGAATAATCCAGGATATAATGAAAAGAATCCAAAGATAACACTCTTTATATTGAATAGCATGTCTGACTCTAAAGCCAAATTCATGGATGGAGAGGGGGTTGTAGTTGGCTTTGATGTAGAGCTGTTGATTAAACTGGCACAGCTACGAAAAAGTCACAGTATTCTCCTACATAGATTTCTTCCAGATCAATCAGCAGAGATGTAAAATGAGAACATATTTGGCCCTGTAAATTCTTAAGAGAAGTCTCTGTTCTTAATTGGTGCCATATGAAAATCTTACTTAGGTAATGTGTTTTGGTGTGTATCTCAGAATCCAAATGCTTAAACCACTTCCATAATCATATATGCAGAAAAACCCAGTTTGCCTGTTTTAGGGAATTATAGACCTCATTTAATGTAATTGCAGAATATAGTGGTGTATTAATAATTCTATCTAGTTTTATCATTTGAGCCAGGAAGTGTTTATAAAATTATGCCAGCTTTATTCTTTTTATTAACTTACAGATACTTTTTTTCCAGTAATGGGTAACCACTGTTTAAATTTTTTGTCTTACAAAAGAGTATAGATCTTCCTTTAAATTAAAAAATTTTAATCTAACTGGGTGTGGTGGTACATGCCTGTAATCCCAGCAGCTTGGGAGGCTGAGGCAGGAGAATCACGAATTCAAAACCAGCCTCAGCAAATTAGCAAGGCCCTAAGCAACTCAGCAAGACTGTGTCTCCAAATAAAATACAAAAAAGAGCTGGGGGTGTGTTTCAGTGGTTAAGCGCCCCTGGGTTTAATCCCTAGCACCAAGGAAAAAAAAAAAAAAACCTTAATTTTAGGCCTCTAACATAAATTCTTACTGCCTTATATTGAAATTGTCAGATGTTGGTATTTTTGTGTTCCAAACTTTACCAGATTTATACCAGCTGTCTCACTGGATCCACATAATAAAGGTTCCATTCTTTAATAGTTTGCAAAATTGAATGTAAGACAGGTACTTTCATGGCAATGCCTAAGTACAAGGAGGCCTTTGTTTCAGAAAGACTCTACATATTATGTAGATGGAATTTTATTTACACAAATCAGAAAATGAGCTGAACACAGTGGTGCAAGCCTGTAATCCCACTGACTTGAGAGACTGAGGTAGGAAGGATCACAAGTCTGAGGACAGCCTGGGAAACTTAGTGAGAACATGAGTCAAAGGTCTGGGGATGTAGCTCAGTGGTAGAGTATGCCTGCATGCAGTATCCAGTATCATGAAAACAAAAATCAGAAAATGATGACTCCTTGCCCATGAACTTGGCCCCAACCATTTTATCTTTCTCATTTCTCATCTTTGACCTTTGTAAAAAGCAAAAATGAAAAGTATTTATAATGATCCATGCCATGGCCACTGGCATCAGTAATGATCAAATATGGTTTTTAAAACTAGTAATAATAGAGCTCAGGTATAACTCAATGGTAGAATACATACCTAATATGCATGAGGCCCTGGGTTCCATCTCCCGCACCAAAATTAAAGTTAGTAAGAAAGTATGTTATCTTAAATGTGTAAACTATAGAGACCTGAAAAGATCCTCAACAAAATAAAACCTATTATTCTTTCTTCAGGTCCTTTTTGTTGGCATCTACTATCATTTAAAAGTTTATTATCACTATAGTGCTGTTCTCCAAATTTGTGTGTTTTTTTCCCTACTTGTCATTTTATTAATTATAGTATCGGTATTTCCAAAATAACGTGGCTACATTTTACTGAAATAGGCACATCAATCCACATCTTGCTCTTTTTGTTTACATCTACAGTCCTATTTAAATTCAGTATATCCAACCATAAAAGGTGTTAGAAAATTCTATTTCAGGCTTATGAGAACAAGTACAGCAGAATGTGATTCAAATCTTAAGCTGTATTTATTTCGGCTCCTCTACAGCTAACATTCTTACAAAGAGTTACACTGAAATAATTAAGCAATTGTAGGAAACTAGTGGTTGCAAGGTTATCTTCACTTTCTAGACCTTCTCTGTAGAAGTGTGAGAACACGGTTGGTGAGGTAGTGCCCCCCTACAATGATGATCTGATGCTGGAGTCCAGCAGAGTACCACCACATGGGTGAAGCCTCAACATCTATGCCCACCTGGAGCAACTCTGTGTTGAGCCTGCAAATGCTGATAAAGCATCCAGTGCAGACTCTGACAGTTTTGTTTTCTTTGTAATAGCAGAGGGGGGAAGCATGACTCTTCCTAATGGGAAAGCAGTCGCCATGTCCTATCTGAAGCAAGGGGAAGACAAACCAGCTATCCAGCCCTCCAAGAGCTCCAGAATATGTGTATTGTTAGCTCGTCTGGTTTGGAGTATTCTTGGAGAAGTGTGAAATGGCCTGTCCCAGGTCGTGCAGGGCTGTCAAACAGGAGTCAGTCTTCTAGCCATTTCACAAGGACTCTGGTGCAGAGAAGTCCTAACCCTGAAGTGGATTCACAAGCCAATCCAGATTCTAGCTCCTTTGTGCTGGGTGCTCCCCTGCAGACCTGGGATGTAGCTCTCCTAGTTCTACTGATTTGCCACTATTTGTGATCAAGTAGGAAACTGAAAAAAGTTAAAAAAAAAAAAAACCAGCATTTTTAGCCATAATCCATAGATG